TCTGGATTCTCCTTTGTAATTACCACACAGCCTACTGTAATTGTATAACTTATACTTACTTCCTGCCTTTGACATATAATCAGGGTCCAAGGGTGCACCCTGAGCTAGAATGAAGTTCTCTCTGTTATTTGTCTAAAACCTATAAAATCATCATTGTGTGAGGGTGTGTGTGTGTGTTGCTATGTCTGTTAAATACGTTAAGTATATCCTTGTGAAAAATGCCCACTCTGGCTTTGTTGGATGAAGCACTTTACTAATCAAATGTTTATTGAACACCTACTACTTACTATATGCCAAGGACTATTTTAGATTCCAGGAAACATGAGTGAACAAGACAGCAAAGTCCTTGTTTTCCTGGAAGATAGGGATGGAGGGAAAGAGGGAGACAAGAAAATAGCGCATATGGATTTGTGTGATGCAGAGAGTTACAAGAGTAGTGTGGTAAGAGAATGTCTGGGTGTCCTCTTTAGCTTGGGACACTAGAGAAGACCTCTCTGAAGAGATGACATTTAAACTGACATTTTAAAATGACAAGATGGAGTAGGACAAGCAAAGATCAGCAAGAAGAACATTCCAGGCAGGTTAGCATAAAGGCCCAAAGATGAGAAGGAGCTTGGCATGTTTCAGAAACAGAAAAAAAGACCAGTGTGACTTGAGTGGTGTGGGTGAGAGAGAAATTGGTCAGAGAGGTTGGCAGGGACAAGATCACGGAGGGCTGCATACACCACTGTAGGAAGCATGTGTGGGAGAGATATAGCCCCTGTCGAAGCAGTGTTACCAGGTAGGAGGCTACTCCAGAGGTCTGGGCAGGAGGCTGCAGTAGTTTGGACTGAGGTACAGTAGAGGACGAGAGAAGGGGCTGGATTTGGAATGTGGTTTAGAACCAGACTCACCAGAACCTGCCAATGGATTGGATGTGAGGAACGAAGAAAAGGGAATAATCCAGAATGATTCCAAGGATTTAGGCTTGAGCAACTGACTGGTGATGAGTGTAATGAGTAAGACCAAGGGAGAGCAGTTTAGCTATTCACTAACAAGTCATAACTGACTAACCATGGAACCAGATCTCGGGATCCAGTAAGCGCCCTCAACTACCCCAACTTTACGTCACCGAGGCAAATTCGTAGGCTTGACTGTTCAGTTCATTACTCCTTCAAGCATTTTCATGATTTCTCCTTCCTTCTTTTGTTGTTTATATATGATATCAGAAAATAATCACATTTAGGTTACCTAACTCATATCCTGGAGCTCTGGTGGCACAGTGGTTAAGCACTCAGCTGCTAACCAGAAGGTTGGTTTTTCGAACCCACCAGCCACTCTGGGAAAAAGATGTGGCAGTCTGCTCTGTACAGATTACAGCCTTGGAAACCCTATGGGGCAGTTCTACTCCATCCTATAGGGTCACTATGAGTTGGAATTGACTCGATGGCGCTGGGTTTGTTTTTGTTTTTGGTAATTCATATCCCAATACATCCCCCATGGGTGCTCTATAAATGTTATTTCCTGCCCAAGCTTCCCCTCCTCAGCCCAGCGCTTGGATGCCCTGAGCCCAGGCATCTGGATGTAAGGTGTGGGTCCCTGAGACCTGCCCGTCAGATAGGAAGCTGACACTGGTTTTTACCTCTAACAACGTACCTCATCTATGTGTGCAGAAAATAGCATGACTGGTTTTCTTGTTTTTCTCTTTATAATCAGGAAAATGTTTGTGATCTCTTTAATAAAGATTAAACTGATTTCATCTAATTATTTCATTGGTATAAAATGGATAATTTCTACATTTGCCTTCAAAATATTGTGGGGGCTTAAGTGTTGTCTACACAATGGGAATAATAGTATATTAATTTTTCATAGATGTTTTGTGAGGCTTAAATGAAATAATACATATATATATAGCACAGGTGCTTAACAGTATCTGTTCTAGAGCATTCGGTAAACTTGAAGTATTTTTATTATTAATGAAACAGTAATCTGGTGGGGAAGCCTGGATATTGCTTTCAAATGAAATATTTTTGATACCAGAACCAATATACCAGTTTTAATATTCATATTAGCACGACCAAGAAAATAGAGCAATACACTTATTTACTATATACCTGCATGACCTTGGGCTCAACCTGTAATTTCTTTGGATCTCAGCATCCTCATGTAGATGAGAGGCTTGGCATAAACTCAGTTTTAAAAACTCTGTGATTCTAGTAGGTGAGTTATAGTTTTGTTTTGTTCTATCTTCCTTTTTCCAAGTTTATCAGAAAATTTTACTGATTCTTTTTATGTCTTTGCATCACGTAAATCAGTGTAAGTGACACTGATGTGGCCTTTTGTTAGCACATCATAGAATCCCAATGTTAATATCACTTTCTATACATATAGATTTAGGGTGAGGAAACGTTCTGTCTCTGGATGAGTTCAGCTGCTGAGAATCTTTCTCATTTTAGACCCTCTGTCTGTGGCTATTACGGCTGGCATGCTTCCTCGGTCTCACTTTTGTTACTGTCTTCTGTGGTGATCACTGATGCTGGTGGCCACCTACAATTTCCGAGTTCCCATTCAGCCTTCCCTGGTGGTTGGCATTACATCTGAGTTGTGCTTTCTTGCTTCCTCTACCTTTTGAGATTCAAAAATAGAAAATGAAAACCAAATCCATAGTCTTTTACATTGGCTGAACTCTGTTATTCATCTAACAGATTTTCCGTGAATTCCACAGTCTAATCTGTACAGTCAGAAATCTGCCATCAACTCGATGGCTGTCCTAGAATAAACCCTGTCACAAATTAACAAGAAGACGCTTTTATTTAGAATAGCAAACGCTCAGTCAGGCGTGGGCTGCCGCAGTCCACAGGAGGAGCCTTTGGAAAGAGAATCAAAGCAACAGAAAGGCTCCCAGCTCTGCTCCTTGGCTTTTTCCTCACCTGTTCAACCTTCCTGAGCCATTGTGAGGAGTCATCGGGTTGATAAAAAGACTTGAGAGCAGCTGACTCTTGCTTTATCAATACCAGCTGCTGGGGAACACAAAGGCCCTTCATACATCTGAGGACTGTAGTTCCAGAAGCCTCACCCCACATCATAGCAAACGTACTAAAACGTGGCAACCTTCTATGACTGTGCTGCTGACAAAAATTTTTGAACATATTTTTAGTACTTTGCTTTGGAAATAGGTTGGCTACAAATAACTGAATTAACTTATAATTGGCTGATAATTTCCCAGCAATTCTCTTAGCATACTTAGAAATTCTTATTAAGTTAAAAAATAAATCCAGCCTACATACTGCTTTCAAATGAAATCTTTCTTATTACCAAATCAACAGCTAATGAAGTTAACTTAATATTACATTCTGTAGACCTTTAACATTTACTAATATCAGTTTGGTAGTTTTCCTGTTTTGTAGCCAGTAAAGGATTTTCGAGATCTCATTTTTATAGGCCCCTGAAAAGCTGGAAGGCCCCAGCCACTGTACCTTAATGCCCAGTGGTTAAAACTACCCTCCCTGGGGTCTTCACTCTGGCCTTCTTCAAGGAATCAGAGTCGGATTTGGGGACATTTCCCTAAGAAAGGACAGCAAGCTGGCATGCAAATAGCACTAGTCTGCTAAAGCAAAAAGGTGAACCCAGCCCTCACCCAAAAAAAAAACAAAACTGATAGTAATTAGAGACAGAACACCTGGGTTCCAGCCATTAATTCACCGCATGACCTTGAACAAGAACTGTGTGGCCCTCAGCTTCCCCCATTATTCTTCAGGCTGTAAAGTCAATCTTACGGCCTTTTTCCTGCCCCCCTGGAGTACCTTTTCAGACAGACACTCCATCTGGCCGGGGTGGAGGCCCAAAGGCATCAGTTCTATGGAACTGAAAAATACGCAAAACCTCCTGAACCAGAGACAAGCCTTGCCCTCTCACATACTAAAAGCAAGGCCATTTTAAAATGTCTGTATTATTACTATTTTAGAAAAGAAGGAAAGGAGAAGAAAGTGGGGGAAAAGGAGGAAGGAAGGACTACACCATCAACACTTGCTTTTAAAAAAGCTATAGATCTTTGATTCCTGTGCAGAATGAAAAAGTTTTCCTTCTCCAGATAGAAAGGCTGTCATATGAAATACTTACTCCCACTATCCCATTCAAAAGTCTCCTGTCATCTTTTCTCCCTCAGTGAGGGGCAAGTAAGATGTAATGAAAAGAACATGGACTTCAGAATCAGTGCTCCATGCAAAGCCAGCCCTACTAGTTTGCTCAGCAGTTTTCAAAGTGTGGACAAGGGAACCCCTCGGGTTCTCTGCGAGCCAAAACTGTTTTCATAGTCATAGCAAGATGTCACTTACCTTTTTCACAGTCATTCTTTTCATGAATGAATTTTCCAGAGGCTGCATGACATGTGATACTGTGACAGATGGAATGCATACCCAGATATCAAAATCCAGTTGTCTGCTGTTAAGCCAGACATTAAAGACATTTGTAAAAGTGTAAAACAATGCCACTCTTCTCACTGGTTTTTGTTTTGTTTTGGAAAATATAATTGCTTTTAATTTTTAAAGTGTTATTTATATTAATATGTAATAGGTTTGTGATTATTATTTTAAATGAATTATTAAATACATATTTTTCAAATTCCTCAGTTTTAATTTCAAATATGGCAAATGTTGATAAATATAACCCACATAAGCAAGTTCTCTGGGGCCCTCAATAATGTCTAAAAGTGTAAGAGGGTTCTAAGACCAAAATGTTTGGGAACTCCTGCACTCCAGTCGAACCCACTGCTGTCAAGTCAATTCCAACTCATACGACCCTATAGGACAGGGTACAACTGCCCCACAGGGCTTCCAAGACTGTAAATCTTTACGGAAGCAGACTGCCACATCTTTCTCCCTTGGAGCAGCTGGTGTATTCGAACTGCTGACCTTTTGGTTAGCTGCCAAGCACTTTAACCACTGGCCCACCAGGGCTTCTTACTTCTGCACTTCCTGACAGTAATTAGAAGAGTTAATATACATCAAAGTGCCACAGACCCTGAGAAACTGTTAATCTCCCTTCCTTCTATTCCTTCCCATCTTTGGGGCAATGTTAGACAAAACAGGTTTAATGACTTCCCCTTCCCTTTTCCTCCAGATGGCCTTCAAGGAGAGAGAGAGGCTGATGGACCAGAAGGAGTTGATGAAGATATGATTGTGACCCAAAGTCAGACCAACTTTATCTGCCCCATTACACAGGTACTGTTCCCTCCTACTTCTCTGAAAGAAGAAATAATTGCTTCATAGAGGCAAAAGGATTCCTGTTTGCTTTCTGATTTGATTTCACGTTTGGAGTTAAGGAGGGAGGGAAGAAAATTGATGAGAGTTCAAGAGTATACATGGAAGGTTCTTGGGCTGGAACGTGTTTACAGTCAATTATGCCCTTAAGGATCTAGGAATAAATTCACGTCCACAGGCCAAGTGACATTGCAGGCTTCCCTGCATTTTTTTCTGTGGTCATCTGCCCAAACGATCTAAAGTCATGAGAATGAGAAGTTATAAAACATAGAAAGCCCAGGACTAGGAAGAAACAGCTCTGGACAATTGGTGACTTGGAGAAGTTAGTGGAAGTTAATCATTATCATTCCTGAAAACCCATCTCTCCTTGATTACAGCTGGAAATGAAGAAGCCAGTGAAAAACAAAGTGTGTGGCCACACCTACGAAGAGGAAGCCATTGTTCGCATGATTGAGTCTAAGCACAGACGAAGGAAAAAGGCCTGGTGAGTGGCTACAGGGAGGTGGAGCCTTCCCTAGTGGTAGCTAATCAGCGTGGTGAGTTAATACGAGAGGAAAAGATACTTAAACATCTCCCCTAAATTACATTCATCTCCCAAATAGTGTAAACGTGGAAACTGACTTTCTGTAAAAACAATACATGAGGAAAAAATTAGTAATCTGTTCAGGAAGAAGCTAGAGAAGCAAGCTATTTGACCACACCTTCAAAAAAGAGAAAAAAGAACTGGACTGAGTTTTAATCATTAGATAAACAGGAATTTTTATGAATTCGTGCTATTAGAAAATAGCCTGGGGGAAAGAAAGGTTTAAATAAATTCATGGATAGTCGACGAGGGATTTTTTTTTTTAAAAATTGGAATGTATATATGTGTGTGTGTATATATATATTTTTTTTTTTTTTTTTTTGAGGACTATGACTGTGTTTCCTATAACATAGCTTGTCAAACAAGGAATCCTGAGTTGGCCGGGCTGACTCTGACTCTGACGCAGTTTGGCATTTCTAATGCTCTTATCACACATTTGTCGCAGGAATGGAATTGCAGGTGTGACCAGTTCTCCATATTCTGATAACACTCCCTTTGATGTGTGGTTTGTGTCTCCATCACCCAGAAATTTGTAGTCCAGACCTAGAATTGGAATTCTCCACCTCTCCTCATTCGGGTGTAGACTTAGAGATAGGGGATTTGAGACTGTAGAGATCTTGATGGTCATTAAGTAAGTTGCCCTATTTATTCTGGAAGAAGGACCTAAACATTGCAAAATTGAGACTATCATTCGAGTACATTTTTACCTATTTTGAGTTTCTTACTTACAGTTGAGATGTAACACTTCCCTGGTAAACATACCATTTTAACCTGGGAATATAGTTTTCTTAGTTTCTGAATTGCAAAGCCTTCCCCTCCCTACTAATTTTTTTCTATGTTCATTCCCTGATAATCAAAAATCGAATTTCTTAACATAATTGCTAAGAATAGGTATTCCCAGAGAGCTCTGTTTCACAGCTCTTCCTTCTTAAGCTTTGTGATATTCTCCTAGAGTCAGATTTAAAAAGGGCAGGTAGTGATACAAAGCACATCCCAGGAAGCGGGGAGCTACATGCGGAACAAGCGTCACATTTAAATGAATCTTCTTAATGACATACTTTGACTTTCTAGTGTACTTTGCCTTTTGGATTTACACGTGATATTTGGAGGCACTTGAGTAAATTTGTCATTTAGAGAAGTGCTTTTTTTTTTTTTTTTTTTAATGTCATACTTCCCATGCTTCAGTGTCTGAAATTCTACAGATTCCCTTAGCTGAATTATAACAATAATTAAGTTTAATGGAAGAGGTCTGGGTGGTTTACAGAAAAGGTAGTATTTCTACTGGGCCTTGGAGAATGGGAAGGATTTCAGAGAATGGTTGAGAAGAGTCTTCTAGCCAAAAGGCCCACGGCATTCGGGTCCTGTTCTACTTGGTAGATAGCAATTGTAGTTATTGTATATTAGAGGGAGAATGGAAGGACACTGTGGGCAATAAGAATAGGAAAGTAGTGTAACGATTCATTATAGAGGGACTTAAATGTCATGGTGAAGAGTTTGGATTTTATTAGTTTCCTCACCTACAAATTGCTAAGAGTTGTACTTGCCTCATTGATACGTCTGACATTTAAATAAGGTACATGTAAAGCAGTTAAAGCAATTCCTGGCACACAGTAAGACTCAGTAAACGTTATGCCATTGTCCTCCTCCTCATCCTCATCCTCATCACCATTGTTCTATAGGCGAGGGAGAACCTCGCAGGGTTTTGAGGTAACAAGGTGAGCCAGTCTGGGGTTAAGGAAGTTACTCCCTCCGAATAGCAGTGCAAGGGATGGCTTAAAAAGGGCTGGGGTGAAAAGGTCAATTAGGATGCTTCTGAGGTAGATTAAGTGATAGCTAATGAGCACCTGGCCTGAGGCAACGGTTGTGGGTAAAAGGGATAGAGAATGAGAGTGACTGTGGAGGTACCATTGACTGAGTGTAGGCGGGAGGAAGAATGAAGCATGACCGAAATTTCTAACCGGTGTGTCCAGAAAATACCAAAACCAAACCAAACCCATTGCCGTTGAGTTGATTCCGACTCATAGCGACCCTATAGGACAGAGTAGAACTGCCCCATAGGGTTTCCAAGGAGCGGCTGGTAGATTCAAACTGTCGACCTTTTGGTTAGCAGCTGATCTCTTAACCACTGCGCCACCAGATGGGTGGTATCATTAGCCAACAGAGAGGGCATCAGAGAGAAGACGTTTAGGAAAGATTATGAGACACTCAGTTCGGTTCGTACTAAGTTTGAGGTCCCGGCAATGCAGCCATTGGGACATAACCAGGAAGTACAAAAAAGGTGGGGTTTTGAACTCTAGCTAGAGATGTTGACTGTGAGGTTATCTGCGTAGAGGAGTCAAACCCTCTCACCTGCTGTTACAGATGCAGCTGTGGAATGGAGGCCCAGGGGCAGCCAGCGAGAGCAGAACCTCAGGCTGGCTCTGAGCTCCTCAAGGCCAGGGTCCAGCTCTGCTGTGATGCCCTCAGCACCTGGCTCTGGGCCAGAGCCTCAAAAAGCATTTTGTTTATTAATTACAGAGGTACTCAGAGGAAGAAGACCCTAAGGAAGCAGTCTAAGACATAGCCAGGAGAGAGAAGAGTTGAGCATCAGGGGAGTTAGCCAGGGAGTGGCAGGGTGTAGTGGGCTGTCTTGAAAACAAGGGACATTTGGCAACAAATTAGAATTTAGGGCCTCTTCAGAAATGACTCCAGAGGTTCCTGATTAAGCACGAAGTGGTGTCATTTCCCATGATGTATGTTAGGGTGATGAGCAGTTCTGGGTTCCCTTTGTTTAAAAATGTCTGTGACACATCCCGTTTGAGAATCTCAGTTCTCCCTCCTAGATTGTTCCAATTATGTTTTGTCAGACTGGAGTTGTAGGTACATTGTGTTACAGAGCAATGACTGAATTTACTGTGCATGCATCAGGCCCTGAGAAGACCTCACTGCACGGGCTTGAATCCGAATAACATTGCTGAGACTTCAGCCCTAACTAAATACAGTTCTTAGAATAATTTCCTAAAATATGTCTCTTAATAAAGCTATTTATTATCTTCCTAATGAAGCCATCTTATGATGTTCCTACTAATAAAGAGATTTCCAATTTTAGCACAGCCATTCCTTTCCTTTTTAGTTTAATAACAGGAACTGTATTGAACAGTTGTATTTAAAAGCATGTAGAATAAAAGTAAGTTAAAGTTAAATTAAAGGTATTGTTGAATAGCAGAACTCCAGCACTGAGCTCATAGTTCTTGTGTTACCGTTTACCAACAAGTCATTTATTTAACCTCTCAGAGCCTCGGTTTCTTCATCTATAAAGTGGAGTTAATAACAATGTCTCACCGAATTTCAGGAATCAAAGAAGTGGTGGGGAATTCCGAGCCAGGTCTAGATGGACCAGCAAGTTTCTGTGCAATGGAGAAGCAAACTACGTATGACAAAGGTCTTTTTGAACTACAGAGCACTAAACAAATAGCAGTAAGGTTATTATAAGGTCAAGACTGTTGGTGTTGTTATGACTTACCTCACTGCTTAGTGACACATTATTTTAGACTCAGAGGGTGCAGGATAGAGTCACCCTCTGCATTTAGGTATTATGAGAATCCATCCCACTCAGATTTCATGAGGTATCTCTAGGACCTTTCTAGAGCTTGTGGACTGGACTTTGGAATTCTTGTGACCCAGATCCAGGAACTCATGAGGCTCAGAATCTTGCACTTTCTGAGCTGATGCTGAGGCCAGCATTCCCCAAAGCCTTCTGGGACCCCTGAGACCGGGGTTGCCTCTGCTCAGCAGACATTTCCGAGCTTGCTGTAAAATGCTCTGCCCTGTCAGTGAACCAAGTTCAAGACCCAGCCTCTCCTTCCAGGCCTGCTGGTCTGACTCCTGCACAGTGATGACGCGAGAGCTTAAGATTGGGTATTGCCCCACCTAACTTGCTCACCAGGATGTCATGGGGATTAATGCTCTGATGCCTGCCTAGAGTGTTGTTTCTTCAGAGGAGACGTGCCCTGATTCAGTATCATGTTATTAGGGCCTTCTCCTATTCTTTTTAGTTTAAAAACTTTTATTTATTTGACATGTGGTGAGAAACAGGGTTCTCACCCAGCTCCTACATCAACATCTCCCCCAGGAAGCCTTCCCTGAACCCTCATTTACGCGGGGCAAAACATCCTCCTGCATGCTCCCATGGCGCCCTGTACATTGTCAGCATCTGCATATCACACCGATGCAATCAGTGGGGCTGGCTTTTCTCCGCCAGCTTCTGGGGAGCAGAAGCTGTGAACCGGAGCAGGAACTGGCGTGTTATAGCACCTGAACTGAATCAGCCCACTTATTTCTCAGGATAAACCTGTGCTCTGCCTTCATTTTTATAGAGGAAGAAACTGAGGCATAGAGAATTAAGTCACTGACCTAGAGTGTCACAGCCAGTGGGTTTGCACCCAGGTCTTTTTCAGTCTGGAGCCTGTGTTTTTGTCATTGGGCCATCTGGCTCCCCTTGGGAGGGCTATTTGGCTGATGCCTCTGTCCCCTGAGGCATTCATCCCCAAGTGAGCTCAGACCTCTTTGCTTGACATACAGATCACCCTGGGCTCAGTCCCCCGAAGTGAGCTTGCATGCCTGTTCTGCAGCTGAGTGGGGTGGTGGTTCCCCCAGCCATTCTCAGAATGCTGCGTTACTGACTAGGACCAGTTGATGTCACCAGGAAGTGCTCCTCACCTCACTCTCCACTTCCCTGTCCAGCTGATTCACTGTCTGGCTCTTGGTGTTAGAGACTTTGCTGGGGAGGGGCCTGGCGGTCAGCCATGGGCATTCAGTGGGTTGATGTATGAAGCGAGGCTCATCCCAGCTCATGTCATCTTGGCAGCCTACCTCGAGTTGCATTTCCATTTCATAAAAGTTTAAGTGATGAAAATTGCCTGTCTGAAGTCATGGAAGTGTCCATATCCCCTTCATAAGGTCATACTTAAAGAAATTATTCACTTTGAGATTCCAGAGTGTAGGGTGACAGGCTAGGAAAAAATAGAGATGTTTAACCTAGTGGAAAATGTTTCTCAAGCATCTCCAAGCTTTACCCTAATACAAAGCCAAAGCGTCAAAATGATGCACACCTGGGCCAGATTGGCCTGCTCTTCTTTCACATAATGGCCTTTCTCTGATTATGGTGTAACACATATCCCTGGCCATATAAGGAACATCTCAGCATTTTAGAAATAAGTATTGCTATCGAGCATACTATTCATTACATTGCTTAATGCCCCCTAATATAAACTCCTTAATCCTGAGATAGGGGCCAAGAAAAAGTTTCTCCTTCCTGTTAAACTGCTGTACATCCTTCCACTAGACAAATTAGAGCCGCTGTGATCAGCTTTTTTCCCCCTCGGGTTTTTATTGTTTGTCCTGTCTATTTGTTGCCTGTTCTTTTTGGAAAGCTGTCTCAGATCAACGGACCCCTGAGCTCCCAGTTGAATGCTTAGAACCCAGTACAGGTCTCGTCACAGAGGGCTGAATGAGTGCATGAATGTGCCCGGGTATGTGTTGGGTTGGGCACGAGGACAGTGGTGGGTCAGTGGTAGAATCCTCGCCTTCCGTGTGGGGGATTCAGGTTCAATTCCTGTCCAGTGCACCACCTGCACAGCCACTACCCATCAGCTAGTGGAGGCATAAACATTGCTATGATGCTGAACAGGTTTCAGCGGAGCTTCCAGACTAAGACAGACTAGGAAGAAAGACCTGGCAATCTACTTCTGAAAATCAGCCAGTGAAAACCCTATGGAGCACCACAGTCTGATCCACAACTGTTCACCATGAGTCGGGGGCCAACTCACTAGCAGCTAACAACAACAGCAACATGTGCTGGGCATATGCGAGATACAGATGGCTCAGTAACTTTAAAACTTATCGGAAGAATGACGATCTGGGAACAAATGATAGTCATAGGAGATAACGAAGGGAAGGAACATTAGTAAGGCACTGTGTTGCCTGTAACCCTGTGAAATAGGGATTCTCCCCCCATCTTAAATCTGAGAGAACAGAGGCTGAGAAAGGCAAAGTGAGTTGCCTGTGGTCTCATAATTAGAAGTCAATGGTAGAGATGCAGTTCAGACTGAGGTCTGCATGACTCCCAAACTTGGACATTCTCCTCTACCAAAATCTGGTTCACACTGAGGAGAAATCAGGTGCCTCCAACCCAGTGCCTTCAGAGGTGACCACATCTAAACAGAGCCGTGTCTTTAAGTTCCACTTCTATCAGGATGATTCACACATGGTTTCTGCAGCCACAGCTGTAGTCCTCAACAGCTCACTCAGTCTTTCCACTGCGAGGCCTAGTAGGCATTTCAGACGAGGCCTAGTAGGCATTTCAGACGGAGCGCGTGTAAGGCAGGATTCCAGATTCCATCCCTCTGCTCTCACGGAAGGCCCAAGGCCCATGCTTGTGCACTGCTGTGTTCCCCGTTGCAGTCAAGGGCACCCCCATTTGCCCATTTGCTCAGGCCAAACCATTTGAATGAAGCCCAACTCTTCTATTTCTTTTACCTTCCACATCTATACCATCAGCAGGTCCTGCAAGTTCTGCTTTCAAATGTATCCTGAGTCTGATCACAGCTACCACCATCATCTGTTGTGCCTTTCTGCAGGGTCCTCCTCACTCTTCTCCCTGCTTCCACTCCTGCCCCTACCTTGTGTTCTCCTGTAAGTAGCCAGAGTCACATTTTTGACATGTGAACTAAATCACATCCCTCCCCTCTCTCAAAACCCTCCAGCGTTTCCTCACCATATTTAAAATAAGTTCCAAAGTCCCGCTCCCCCTCTGCCCTTGTCTCCAAGTGCCCTCCTTTCTGTCCAGTGCACCAGGCTGCTGCGTCTGCCAGTTTTTACCCTCCCTGCCGCCTCAGCCCGGGCCACTAGATAATCTATACTAGTGGCCGTCAAGTCAACCCCGACTCATGGTGACCCCCTGTGTCTCAGAGTAGTGCTCCAAAAGGTTTTCAATGGCTGATTTTTCAGAATTAGATCACCAGGCCTTTCTTCTTAGGTGCCTCTGAGTGGACTCAGACTCCCACCTTTCAGCTAGCAGCCAAGCACATTAACCATTTGCACCACCCAGGGACTCCCAGCCTGGGCCACACACAGCACTTATTCCCTCACTGCCCTCATGGCTCTGCTGAAGATAAGAGCTCCTTAGGACAGCTTTCCCTGATCCCCAGCTAGGAAAGCCTCAGCCCCGACTCTTTCCCTTGACCCTGCTTCACTTCTTCATAGGACCTAATGCCACCAGAAAGTGCTGCACAGACCTAACTGGTCACTCAGTGAGTCTCTCCTCATCTGAAGGGAAACTGCATGGGTGGCACTGCTGTGTCTCCTGCTGTGTCCCCAGCCCCTGGGCAGCCCCTGGCTCAGGTCAGCACTCAGTGAGTCAGTGAAGGAATAGCATCGGCTCTGATCTTTAAAATGTACATCTTTTTGTTAACACGTTAGGTTAGGTTAGGTTAGGTGCTGTCAAGTCGATTTTCAACTCACAGCGACCCTATGTGACAGTAGAACTGCCCTAAAGGGTTTCCTAGGCTATAGTCTTCACGGGAGCAGATTGCCAGGTCTTTCTCCCAGAAAGCTGCTGGTGAGTCCAAACTGCCGACCTTTCCATCAGCAGCCAGACACTTAACCTTTGAGCCACCAGGGCTCCTTTCTGTTAACCTGTTGTTGTTAGGTGCCATTGAGTCAGTTCTGACTCAAAGCAACCCTGTGTACAACAGAACGAAACACTGCCCCATCCTGCACCATGACAATCAGTATTATGCTTGACCCCATTGTTGCAGCCACTGTGTCAATCCATCTCATTGAGGGTCTTCCTCTTTTTCGCTGACCCTCTACTTTACCAAGCATGATGTCCTTTTCCAGGGCCTGTCCCCTGCTAATAGCATGTCCAAAGTCTGTTAACATAGTCCCGTGTAAATAACTCAAATATGAGAGAAGTTTATGCTGAAAGCATTGAAGTTAAGCCGACTGACTGGATTGTCTTTCTCCCTCACAGTTGCCCCAAAATTGGCTGTAGCCACACAGATGTGAAAATGTCAGATCTGGTCCAGGATGAAGCACTCAGAAGGGCAATTGAGAGCCACAACAAGAAAAGAAACCGTCACTCGGAGTAAGAGAAAGCCACCTGCCCACGGAGAGCGAGCAGCCTAGTTCCTGCCTCAGCCATCTGCCGAGCACCATGCTTCTCCCAGCCTGCTTTGTCTGCGGGACAACTTGAGGGTTTGAAGTATAACTGAAAACATTTTTCTAAGTTCCACAACAAAAATTCAAGCATATTATAGTGTTTATTTTTAAGTGTTCTGTAATTTTAAATAAAGCTTTGATAATCTGCCCTGTGTCCTGCCTGTGCTGCTCTGGACATGGAGATGCTTCCAACGGTGCAGGACTGAACCTGCCAGGCTTTTCTATTTCTAATACGTCAGACTGTTTTTTATGATATTTTTAACAGTGTCTTTCAAGAGATATTTGAAATGGAAACACATAAACCACCCCCCCAAAAAAAATTATAAGCATTTTCTATCAGTATAGTAAAGAATAGCATTAAGGTTATAAAGCAAAACCAGTTTTCTCACGTATATTTACCACATATATTGACAGTTCCAAATATGTAAATGATTTAATCATTCTCAGTGACATAGAATGCTCCAGCACAGGCTTATCAGTGCAGATAACGGATGCTTATCATGGAAACTTTGCTGCAGGCTTCCCGAGAGCCCGAAGTGTCATCTGAAGCAACCACATCCTGCTGCACTCTGTCTCGCTCAGTGGCTGCCTGCGTGCCTCCATTGGTCAGGGCCTTGGTATCCTTAGCCATCAAAGAAGGGCGTCAAACAAGATGCTCTCTAATGTCCTTCAGCCCCAAAAGCATGGACTTAGGCCAGTAGGGTCTTTAAATTGAATATCTCTGATTATATTCTAATTGTATAAAGAGTGATAATCTATCAGTAGTCTCCATAGCAACTTTTTATCCACTGGAATATTTAATTCAACTGAAGACAGCATAGCCTGACTGTGCAGGGAACCTGAGAATAGCCAGTAACAGCTAACGTTTATCGAGCATTTACTGTGTAGCAGGTGATATTCTAAGTATTCACATATGGATCAACTCCTGTGACCCTCACAGCCCTGTGGAGGAGGTACAGCCGTTTTGCCCACTTTACAGATAAGGAAAACAAAGCTCAGGGAAGTGAAGTAACCCTTCAGAAGTCATAGAGCTAGTGAGCAGCTGAGCTGGATTAGAAGTTGGGTGGTCTGGTCCCAGAGTTGAGATTCTTAATTCCATGCTATCCCTTATTGATTTATTTAATGTATTGTTGTATTTAGTAAAATATGTTTAGATTTACATTTTGTAGATAAGCATATACATCTGTACATACAGACAGACACATATATGCAAAAAAAATCTAATCAAAATGCAGAAAATAACTAGATTTGACATCTAATAGGTAGTGGAGACTGTGGAATAATAGTATATATTAAAGTTTAAAAGCACAGTGTCAAAGAACAGGATTAGTTTTGAAAGAATTGTCATGGAATTCAGACGATACTATGACATTCAGTTGCCTACAGAGTAAGTGATTTTGAATTTCCGAAGATGCTTTGATATGAATCAGACTTTTCTGAGGGAAAGATTACATTTGAACCAGAACAAACATGTTTTTTTCATGGAATGTGGTTCTTTTGTGAAATACTTTGTTTCCTAAACAGATAAGGACAAGCATGAAATGCTTACCCGAGATTTGATTTGAGTTTTCCCCAACTCTTTCTAAAGAAAATTCCAGAATATTTCTGTGGATACTAGTTAGAAAAATGCAAAACACCATTCCACTGTAAAAAGGGTATAGTATTTATATCCTATGAAGTTTATTCCTTTTTTAGCCTTCATAAAATGTTTCATAAATTTTGTCTAGCCAATTAAAGAATTTGTCATTTTATATAAAATTTTATTTTCATCTTTGAAGGTTAACCATTTGGTGGCCATTTTCAGTCTGGCTTATTTTACAGTAGGGCTTTGAACTGGTTCTAACAGGTTTAGTCATGGCCAACGATGGGAAACCAGAACAGACCCTAATTTTTACAATTTGGGTGATCCAGAACGATCACCTGGAACAGGAAAAATTATGGGTCAAAACCCTGGAATGGGAGACTCGGAAGAGGTATAGTGAGCCCATTCAGAAGCCTGATGCATGAGATTGGATTATTGGAAGTACTGTGGAGAGCAACACACATTCAAAGCGGTGCAGCGCCATCTTTAAGTGGGGCACAGCTGTTTTCCAACTCTGCTCAAAATCCAATGGGCAAGAGATTTGGTTGCTATGCAACACATATGCTGCCCTTGTTTTCTAAGAGGGAGGTTAGATTTGTAGCAGGGCTTGACCCGTAATTTTTCCTGTTCTGATTAGTGTGCCAGTTCACCCAAATTTAAAAAATTTGGGTCTGTTCCAGTTTTGCTTCCTTGGCCATGACTGAACAAGTGAGAACCCGTTCAAAGCCCTGTTTTACAGTGAAACTTGTGAGAGCTGGAACCTGATGGGACTGCCTTGTTTTTCTGGGTCTCGCAAGCTTTCCACCTTTGACAGGGTGCAGTGTTACCACTTTTCTGTCACTCGTTTTAGTGGAAAATATTTGAGTTTCCCTTCTCTTGCAGGTTTCTGCCTTACACGGGTTCTGGTTTTTGGAGGTTTTACTGCATTGAATTTTGGCAGCATGCGTTTTAAACCGTGGAAACGTCCCTTCAAATAAAACTGTATTTATCTTAACCAAGAAACCCAATATATAAGACAGCTTAAAGGGAAGTGGCTCCAGTCAAAGAGGAGGTAGGAGTTCCACATCCCCACCCCCACCTAGAGCTCCCCTCTTCCCGTGGCAGGCACAGAGTCCTATCCAAGATTAGCCTAAGGCCCCATGAATGGCATTTGAAAACCTCACTAGACATTTGTTGTTGTGTGCGTCGAGTTGATTCCAATTCATAGGGACCCTATATGACAGAATAGAACTGCCCCATTGGATTTCAGAGGCTGTAATCTTTACGGGAGCAGATAACCAGGGTTTTTCTACCATGGAGCTGCTGAGTGGGTTCGAACCACCAGTCTTTCAGTTAGCAGCCAAGTGCTTAACCATTGCACCACTAGGGCTTCAACTTAATATTTCCTATTCTATTTCTTTATCTTTGAATTGTATATTCATTTTACATGCAGTGATAACTAATAGTAGTCAACAATTCTAATGAGCTACTTTTATTTTTTAAAAACATAAATGAGTAAAAACCTTGGCTAGTTCCTCTCTCAGTTCATCGTGCCATTGGGAAGCCTTGCAGTTCAGGCCTAAAGAATTGATGTGGTGATCACCCAGTGGATGGCAGAATGGGAAACCCCTCAGTGAGATGGATTGCCGCAATGAACTCAAACATACCAGTGATCATGAAGATGGCACAGGACTGGGCAACATCTCGTTCTGTTGTGTGCAGGGTCGGCATGAGCCGGAGCCAATTCGACAGCAACTAACAACAACATAACATGATCACAAACAATGACGACCAAAGAAATAAATATTTAATGAGGATTTTATTCTTTTAATGAACAAATACAGGATTGGTTTAAAAGAAAAAAGCAAGCTACAATTATGAAAGGAAGCAGCCCAAGGATCATCTTTTGTCATAATCAGAACACTAACCTGGAGTGCTGGCTGTTAATAAAGGAAGTCAGCATGCTACTGGAAAAGGCTGTCATGTGGAGTGAGGGGAGACTCCTGCCATTGGACTCTGTGTAAAGCCCTGAGCTGCGTTCTCAGGCAAGTTATGGTCACCATGGTTCACTAAGAACGTGGAGACACTGACTAGTCCAGAGAACTAAACAGGAACAAATACAAGGCTAAGCATGCTACACTAAAAGAAACTGGGATATTTTTGCCCACACGGAAAAAAACAAGGCTTCTGTTTTACACAAACGATAAGACTATATAAGGAGCATGCTACAAGGCAGTAACAACAAATGCTGAGAGATTTAACACCTTAGCGCAGGGCTCTTACCATGGGGTCCATGGATCCCCAACGGACTGTGGATAAAATTCAGGAGTCCACGAATTTGGTGAGGGAAACAAAACATACCGCTGCTTCTGTTGTGTGCCATTGAGTGAGTCCAATGAGTAACCCTACAGGACAGAGTAGAACTGTCCCATGGGGTTTCCAAGGAGCAGCTGGTGGATTCAAACTGCAAAACTTTTGGTTAGCAGCCTGAGCTGTTAACCACTGTGCCACCAGGTCTCCTTTACTTTTTCTAACCTGTAACTGAAACTTAGCGTTTCCTACAATTATGAATGTAGGCAATGAACACCAGTGGAAATAGCAGTACCTGTGACTTTATCACCAATAAAAAAAATCACAAATAATTTCATATGGCATTACTGTTGTTATAAAGATAAGTTTACACTCTTCTTTAGAGTAGTTAGTTCACTTCAGGCAATGATGGACTAACAGAAATCAGATTTATGCTCCTGCCTCAGCTAAAAACCCATACGACATAAATGAAACAATGGTTTTCAGACACTGGGCAACAGGCAGCACAGGACAGTGATCCCTGAGGGAAGGAGAAAAGTCGAGCCCTCGTTACTGCCTGGAGAATGTCCAAGCCCCACAGAGAGACGGGTAACCAAAGTGGGGCCTGGAGACCTGTCTGAGTCAAGGAGACAGAGTTGGTTCAGGGAAGCCAGTGTGGCTAGAATTTGCAAGACAGAGCTGCTCAGAGAGCGAGCTCTGGAGCTGAGCTCCCCCGAGTCTTCAGCTGAGTAATGATCAGCACATGCCTGTGAGGAAAATACCTGAGGCCATGAAAGAACCATCCAGAAGGGATTCAAAACCAAAACCAAACCTGTTGCCATTCAGTCGAGTAAAACTATAGACTATAGGACAGTAGAACTGCCCCAGAGGGTTTCCAAGGAGTGGCTGATGGATTTGAACTGCCAACCTTTTGGTTAGCAGCCATAACTCTTAACCACTATGCCACCAACGTTCCTAGAAGGGATTAGAGGGAACAAAAATTGGAGTTCACACAGGCCCAAGGTAGTTCCTTTTCCCACCAGCCAGAGTGGAACCCTCCGTACTCAGACAGCACTGGCTAGAGTACTCAGCCTCAGTAGTGAGGCAAAGTTAGCCCTAGACTGCAGGCTTGTCTGGTCCTGCTTAACAATGCTTGAAAAGCAAGCCTAGAAGCATGGGTCAGCAAACTTTTTCTGTGATACTATGAGAATATTAGTAAATATTCTCAGCTTTATGGGTCATCTGCAGCTACTCAACTCTGCTGTGGTAGCCAGAAAGCAGCCATAAACAATATATAAAACAAAATGGTTGTGTTCCAGTTGGAGCCCTCGTGGTGCAGTGGTTAAGAGCTTGGCTGCTAACCTAAAGGTCAGCACTTCAAATCCACCAACCGTTCCTTAGAAACACCATGGGGCAGTTCTACTCTGTCCTATAGGGTTGCTATGAATAGGAATTGACTTGA